CAGAAGACCTAAGGGTGGTATTGCAAATGACATCTCACAACTCAGCTATGGGGCTTTTCTTCCTTCTAAGAATTCTACTTCGAAAAACTTTTGAAAGACTGTTCTAAAGCTGGTATAAGACATGCTTACAACAGGAAGAAAGTTTCTAGTAGAGCCCTGTAGTATCCTAGTACCACACAATATCTACAGCTCCTTTTAGACACCCATTGCTTTGTTTTGGATCTTTGAATCAGCACTTGCACTAAGAGGAAAAAAAAATTAAAAAACAAGCAACCCATGCCAGAAAAAAGGACCGGCAATCAAAACCAAGGTAACACACAGTCATGTAGTGTCTGATAATTGCCAGAAACGTATATGAAACAACCAAGATCACTGAAGAAAAGAATAAGCCACCTTATGACTCAAACGATGAGCAAAGGCTCTTCCACAAAGTCTCTTTTCATCAACTAAAAAATAAAATTACAAGAAAATCTGGGATAATGAGGTGAACTTTATAGAAGTTTGGAAGAAATCTGTCAATCCACAAATATCAGCAATAGACTAAACACCTGTTTATTATCACAAAGAACTAAGAAATAAATTAAAAGAGTGCCTGAAAGAATCTTCTGAAGTAATCCTGCAAGGGAATAATTAAGAAGAAGTGTAATTTTACTTTGATTTCTACTCTTAAGTTTAAACTGACAGTGGTTTATTTGGACTTATATTTTTTTCTAAGTTAAAGCAGAACACACAATATCTGAAATGCAATCTATATACAACACAAAAAGGTATACCTTTTTTCTTAAAGCTTATTTCATTAAGGATTTAGAAGACAAACTGAAATGAACTAAAATAATACTAAGTCGGGGATAAAACTTCCACTTCAGAGACTCAGAAATAAAAAGAAGTCTCTTCTTGGGAAAAATAGGAACATTTAAAAAGACTCCAAATGTTTTAAGGTGCACTGACAAGGCCTCTTCCATATTCTCCTACAGGGAAAAAATACTGTACACTGCAACAGTAATAAAAAAAATCAGTTCCCTAAGACTCGATGTAACTTTTTACCTTCTTGGTAGACGTCTAATTCCAGATCCAATTCACATGCTTTTAGCAATAAGATCCAACACCATTCCCAGCATCAAGTTGATTCATTCAGCTACACATCTTCCATGAGTTAACACAGAAGGCACAATGGAAACAGAGCTAAGATAAACACAAGAGAAAAACCTGAAATCAACTTCTTTATGGATAAGCCAGTGTTAGAATTAATACTTCTATTAATCCTCTGAAGAGCTTTTGCTGACCCTAAGAAAGAATCAGAGTAACTCACAACTCAGAAATCATGCTCAGAGCAGAGCCTAAAACATGTATCCATCAACTCGCCCTAGTCAGGTATTAAAATTTATTCTACTAGGCCAGTACGTGGTGTTTACATACAATTCAGAAAACAAATCACAAAGCTAACATAGCTGTCTGACCATGGGCCAGAGTAAACTGACCCCACAATGGAGACTACAAGCTTGGCCAAAGGCCATCAGAGAACTGTGGTTCAGAACAGTATAGTTGTACTTCAGAGTTCAAAGATCTTTCTTAGCACTTCCAAACTAGGATTCAGAAGTCCTGTGAGAAGACTTAGGCATCCTACTTTGTCACCCTGGAAGGAAGGAAGGTGGTGGTGGTGGTGGGGGGGTGTTGGATCTTTGCAAGGAATACTTTAGTAAGACTAAGTAAAGGATCAAAGAGGCACAAGCAAACAGGAAAAAAACTGAATAAACTCAGTCTGAAGTTCTTCTCGTAGGGAACAGTTGATAAATGCTGTTAATTAAGAAGGAGAGGGGGAAGCATACACATTTTCCACCACAAAAGGCTCTACCCAATGGCCAAAAGAATTCAAGGGCTTGTGTTCTTTCACGGGTTGATCATACTCATATAAACCAACTTTTCCTAATGCATACATTAATGCTAACTGAGGATTCCACAACTAAGGGAGTTTTAATGATTCATTTACTAATGGAGAGACCAGAATTTGTACATGCTACGAAGGTAAACACATCTGTCAAGCATCTTCTTTCCTCATGAGCCTCAACTAGCGTAATTAATCAAAATCTGATGATTGCCCTCCATAAGGAATGTGTCATTTGTCTGACAGACTGAAGGGGAAGTGGAGAGAAGAAAATCACACTTACACATTTCAACTCCTTCTTTGGAAATGATGACCTGATGTCCACAAACTCAGTAACAGCTGACAACAAACACAAGAGCTAAAATTCAGCATTTTACAAATGCTGAATTGTATAAAATACAGCTGAAACTCTGGTATACGTCATATGCACACGGAAGAGTTATGCATATGTAAGCCTTTTACTGAACTCGTTTTTAAGATTAGCATTATTGTCATTATGCAAAAGTGAAACATTCATTTTCTGGATCAAATAGGCCTGGTTCACATGCAATTAAAAATAAAAAAGTGCTCTGTCAGCTTTATGAAAGCTTTAAGTATTTAAATGTTTACAGTTAAATAATGGTCAGATTTTGGAAACTGTAAAGTAACGTTACACAGCTGTCATTTCTAAACATGCAAGTGAATTATGTTAGTTGAGCAATTCAGAATTTATACTTCAGTTTGACTTGGATATTAAACTGAAAACTTTCTTTTCCAATTAACTTACTAAAAAACACTACATCAGATACTGAAATATGGTTCTTTGGCTGACAAAAAAAGCCTAATTATAAAAAAACCTAAAGGGAAAAAAATCAGTTTTAAAAAAGTAATTTATGATTCATTTTGTCTACAGAATTAAACCCTGGAAGATCCACTTCCCCAAAGGCTGTTTTTTTAAAAAAATGTTGTCCTTCATGACAATTGAGATAAAGCTCCAATCAGTACCAAATGATAAAACTACAGTATTTTAACAGGAACAAGATTTCTTGTGCTCCTCCCAGAGAAACACAAGCACGTATACAATAAGCGACCGCAAGGATGTGAAGGCTTCAAATTTTGATTTCTCTGCCCAGCAATAACAGCATTCTATTACTCTCCCTTTGGCATATGCCCATAACTCCGCTCCACTACCACCCCTTTGGCAAAGCCCCATTTCTTTCTGTCAAGAGACAGTATTGGATCAAGAGGAGGAAGGGAAGGGCTCACTTACATGCAGCTCACTTATATTGCACGCTGGCTTTCAGTTTGCTACCAAATCTTCCCTATCTTTCCAAGGTGCGCCTGCAGTAGGTGTTGTGAATAACACACTACCAGGCGGAAAACTCCCAGCTTTGCAGAAGGACCTGTGCAAGGAAAACACTCGGCAAGACGCTATCACCACCGCTAGCCCCCACCCACTTCACAGCCGAGACGCAGTGTCCCTGGCCACTCCAAACTCCTCCACTCTTCCTACCCCCCGGATCCGGGGTGGGCAACAGACTCCAGAGAGGTCACCTAGAAGCTCTCTGGGGGGCGGGTGCGAAGGCAGCCCCCGGGTGCGTTGGAGGCGCGGGAGCCGCTCGCACCGCTCTCGCCGTGCCCAGCTCCCCTCGTGCCCCGCGAGTCCAAGTGCCGGAGTTCCCAGGGCCCCAGCCCGGTGCCGCTGCCGGGCGGCGGGAGCGCGGCGCTGGCCGAGGGGACCCGCGGCCCACTCGGGCGGCAGCTCCTCCTCCCCGCACAACCCGCCCGGGCCGAGCGGGACCCACCCGCGGCTCCACGGCTCCCCCAGCCCCGGGGCCGGCCGTGCCCCCCTCCTCCGCCGCGGACCGCTCGCTCCGCCCGGGGGGAGACAATGGGCACGATGACTTCACCCTCCAACAATGTGCGGAGCAGCGGGGGGGACGCCGCCGACTTCCCCCGGCCCCCGGGACACCCCCGGGCCGCGGCTCCCGGGCCCTCTCCCACCCGGGCTCGGGCCCCCGCCCAGAGGCGGCTCCGGCTCGGAGGCTCCGCTCCACCCCTCACCCGCCGCCACGCTCAGGGCGGCGGCCGCCGGCGGAGGCCCGAGCCGGGGGACGCCGCCACCGCCAGGCCCCTCGGCGCGCCCGCCCCGCCGCGCACCCCCCGCCGGTACCTGCGAGTCGGCGGGAGGAAGCGGCGCCGCTGCGCCCGCCCGAGCCCGGCGCTGCGCAGGAAGCGCCTCGGTGTGTGTGTGCCCGTGTCTGAGAGTGTGTGAGTGGGAACAGAGGGGGCGGTGCCGCCGGGGCGGGGCGGGCCGGGACCGGGGCTGCCCGTGGAGGGAGGCGGTGCCCGGGCCGTCGGTTTCCGCGACGCGCTGAGCTCAACGCGCACGGCGGGGCCGCCCCTCGCCCGCCCCCGGTGGGGCGGCTCCGGCGGGCAGGAACGCTGCGGACCCACCGTGGGGCTGGGGGAGCGGCTGCGCCGCCCTCCCCGAGCTGAGCCCGGCGCGGTGCGGGGTGCGGTGTCCCTGCCGCGAGGGCGGGGGACGCTGCAGCGCGGCCGGCTCAGCAGCAGCACAAGAGTGCAGCGTTGTATATATGTACAGTTCCCTGGGCTTCACACCCATGGGCATGGAACAGCGCGAGGTGAGGAGTGAACTACAGGGGCGTTTCAGTAGGGTTGTGCCGCTGCGCTGATTAACTCGCCAAAAAGGCAAAGCCCTGTTTCCGTGCTGTAAGATGCAGACCTTTCTTCTTTTCGCCCCCCCTCCCTTGCCATTTGAAACAGAACCCACCTCAGAATTTGCCCAGCAGCTTTTCCTTCCTGCGTGGCCCTGCCCTGCGTCTGTCTGCAGTCAGCCCCGGGCCGCCTCTGGCCGAGCTGTATCGCTCACCCGTCCTGGGTTCGGATTTTTCGTCTCCTTTTATTACCGACCTTCACGACGTCTTCCCCGGGATTCCCTCTGTCCGCAGTCCTACCGTAGCTGCTGCTCTCTCCTACAGTCTGTCTGCTCTGCCCCTGACCCCCGCTCCTGGCCCGACTCCAAATCTCCCCTGACTAGTTTAAAGAATTATTTGCATACACTAATACTGCATTGGGTTTAAGTCGAGTGCTGTCTTTTTTTATTTGTTTATTTTTTCCTAGTTAAGCATTCATACTATCTCATGACATCTCAGAATTCTCTGGAACTGGAGTTAATCCTGTGCTTGTGACTGCTGGTTCTTCCATTAAGCTGGTATGAAACCTGAAAACTTAATCTGGAAAAAGGTTATTAATCACCCAACCCGCATTTAACATGTGCAAAGATAGTAAAATGAATAAAATGTACCACACTTTTCCTGCAGGATTTGCAATGTACCATCTGTTAAAGACTTGCACGTATACTTACCTTTATTTATGTGCATAGTTCCGTTTAAGTCAATAGGACTACTTCCAGTACATCAAATTAAAAGTAAATACGAGTCATTCCATGGTGAGATACTTAATCTGAAATGACAGAATAGGCAATTACAACAAACAGGGAGGGAAAGTGGAAAATAAGGGTAACAACAATGAGATTATACTGGAATTTTGGCACGTTGCATACAAACCATGTCAGTTCCTTGTTTGCTTGTAAAAGCCAGCAGGTAGGTGAGTTGTTTAGGCTAAGGTACAACAAATGTACATAGCACTTAAGGCATGTAAGTGGTGCCATTGTATTCAACTGGGTAAGATATGCAGAAATATATCACATAAACTACTTGCAGGGTGAAGTCTTGTCTACTTTGTTATGTATGGGATTTGATACAGAGAAAGGGAATTAGTTCATAAAATTAAGGGAGAAAAAGGAAAGGCAAGAAGGGAAGTGCATGAAACAAAAGGATTAGCGTATAGAATAGCATGGTAGGATAGTGAACAAATTTTTACTGGAATAGAAACAGCAAACCATTTATCAACTCAGATGGGCAGCTACCAATGAAACAGAAACCAGCAATAAGAAATGCAAAGCAATGCAGTAATGTGTTACTTTTTAAATGCCCAGAGGGATTTAGCAAATTGGTACAAATGTTCTGAAATCTCTTGTCTAATGCTGGAGAACGGGAGGGGATGGGAGTCCAGGTGTTTTAAAGTTCTGCACTGGGAGATTGAGCAGCCACTGTGGTGGTCAGGTGTTTTTTCCTTGAAGCTGATGAGGGACAAAGCAAACCTCCAGCCAGCCACCCTCCTGAAAGCTTGGCAACAGAGAGCCTGGAGGCAAGTAGGTGCTTTTCATCAGAAGTATTCAAAATAGTTAACAAAATACAGAAAGCACAGGGAGGGAAGAGAATCTTTTCAGCACAAGCTGACAGTAGTTTGTTTTGGTATATAGGGAAGATATGTTTGTTTGCTTGATTACTTGGTTATTATTATACACAATGCAAAAACGGTGTTAAGGAAAAGGGGGGGCTGCTCAAACTATGTAACAGAGGAAACACCTCATGCACGCTGCTTTTGGTGAGACATACAAGATTCAGGACAGCACACAAGCCTGTCTTTCCAAAATACTGTCCTGACAACATCTAGGATTTAAACTTTCTGGGTATTTAATTCAGCTGCTGGCAGAAAAGTACAAAGTAGTATGTCAGAATACAAAAATACTGCCCTCCAAACAAAGTGTCTGTTATGTTCTAAGGAGACATAAGCACACACAATGTGCTGTCAAATGGGGAAGGGCAAAAATCATATCAGCATGAAGAGAGGTGAGCAGACAGGGCTGAGGAAGGAAAGTGCTTTTTCTCTCAATGGTAAGGAATGGAGAAAGGGTATGACATGAACAACTTCATCTTAATTTTGTGTATCCTTCTCATAATCTGTGTATGGACTGCTGGCCTCAGTGGAGTTTCAATATTTACACATGAAACACTGATATTATGTATAAAACACTGCTATCTCATATGGTACTGTAAAATCCAGTGCCTTGGGCCAGAATTTAATGTGTTGGTGGTCTTTTCTGTAAACTTATGTTGGAAGAGTATCAAATATGATGAGTAGGTGTTTCCATGTCTCTGATCCCACATCTGAGTCTTCCTTAGAAATCTTTATCTGAGTATTCAACCATCATCTTCAACGTAAAATTGGCAAAGCCAGACTCTATTTTTGTATAGGTAATTTTATATTTCCTGCAGCCTCTGTCATCATCTGGTCTCCAGGCCATCATTTTTAGGGGAAAAACTTATCCCCAACCTTTCCCCTTCTGACACATACATTTGTGTCCTTGACCTTTCTTTCATCTTGTTCTGAAGAACACCTTTTGTTGGAGGATTCACCACTCTCCTATGTTTTCCAGCTCAACTGTCTCACTGATTTATTTTTTTTTCCTGGAGAGTTTATTTTTAGCAGCCCTGATTTTACTGATCTGTCTTACAGTGTTGCCCCACAGATGGCTGCATTTGCACAAAAAGCATAGCAGAAGATTGATGTGGCAGCAGGAAAAAGTGGCATAGGGAAGGAAGGGAACTGTCTAGATCAATTTTGCTGCTGGAAAAAATGTAGTATGGAAATGCATTCTGACTTGCAACTAAGGAAAAAAGGATAAAAGCCTTTAATGAATTAAAATATCTGCAATACCCATTGATGGCAAAACATGTCTTTAAATTGGGCATACAAAAATAGGCAATACTAATAAATATCTCTATATCCCTGATAGGCATTGTATATTATTGTGTATATCTAAGAGACAAATTGCATGGGACAGGAATAAGTGTTGAATACCATCAGGTTTCTGTTTACCCATTGTGAAAGATTATTTGCCATGCACTGATTGCCATCAATTGTATTGAGTGCAGTAGATAAAAAAAAAAAAATTAATACAGATGTACCATGATGACAAGGCTAGGATAATGGATTAGTGTCGAATAGAGTTATCTAATGTAGATGCAGTTACAAAGTGGAAAGGTACCAGTAAACAGTGTGCAGTCTGAACACTTTCCAAATTTTTTGGCATGTCATAAAACATTAAAGGTGAAGACTTCCATAGCCATTTCAAACGTCTCAGATATCCTAGAGTTACGTCATCTGATCTAATCAGTTTCTGTAGTAGTCAATAAAGAAAAAGCAAAGGTAGAAAATTTACAATATATGGAACTACAGTCTCCAGAACATGCCTACTGCATTAAAGAAAACATCTTTAAATAAATTAAATAAGTTTATTTCTGGCCCCAGTGACAGAGAATAGAAATAGTTTGAGAAATCTGTGTGCCTGAATCAAAAAATGTTGCTCCTAAACATATATCAGATGTCACTCAACTTACAAGTCTCCAGAAGTCTGAGAAAGACTGCTCTATGAGCTTAACATTTCTCAAATGCCTAAAACTCTATTCCTAAATGTAATGTTTAAATTCTGGAGTTGAGGAGTTACAGGATGCAGAAGTGATACCTGTGTATTTTCTTGGAGTTAGGTGTCCTAACTTTTAAAAAGTCTATTGGTTATCACTCAGTATCCCTAGCGAAACTTCAATTTATTAGAAAAATAAATGAAAATCAACTAAGAGTTATACTGTGAAAAGCAGCAGACTATCATTTCTGTTGCACAACACTGTCTCTATTCTAGTCCCCTGAACTTTTCTCCTCTATTAGTCAGAACAGTCTGAAACTTCTGTTTTTCTGGGTTGAGAAGTTAGTTATATGCTTACTCTCTGCCCAAAGGTGAAATGTTTCTGGAAAACTTGAGCAAGACTGTTTTTGCTCATTTTAAGTGTGAGAACAGTGGGGTAGGGGGAAATGTTGCATAAAGGTAAAAGTGCTTGAGGGTTTTCTAAATAACTTTTTCATCATGATGAGATGTGAAGAGATTAAAGTCATGGTGGGAATAACCATGCTCCAGAAAGACCTACACTTTTTCTGAAGTTGGTCTCAAATCATTCAGAGGCTCCTTCAAGCAGTATATACAGTCCATCTTCAGCAGAGCCAGAGAGCATTTAGACTTTCCCTTCCCTGCTCTCTGGCTCTACAGGGCAGGACTTGGCAGCAAGGACCTGTCCCCATCACCCAGCCCTGAGCCAGACAGCTGGAGGACACTGGGACAACCCCAGCCCTGGACAGCCCCAGCCCTGGACAGTCCCAGCCTGTGTATCGGGCCCTTCCCTAGGGATTGGCTGAGGCCAGGCTGGGACATTAACCCACAGGTGTGCCTGGCTCGGTGGGATCCATCACTGAGACAGGGGCTGATGGCTCCAGGGGTTTGAAATTGTGTTCTGGGCTATGGGCAGGGACCTCAGGGTCCCAACACATCCTTATGGAGAGACTCCATGTGGCTTTGCCATGGCTGACATAAAGAGGAGCTCACTGAAGCTGAGCTCTGGCAGGAGCATTGCTGTGTGCAGTCACATCGGAGGTGGAAAAGGACAGTTAGGGAGGAGTGGTTGCCTTTAGCCCCTGCTTAGAGGGCACGTGATTTCTGATGCAATGGCTAAGGCTGTGGGAGCCAGCAGCAAGCAGCAATAAGACACAGAACCTCTGTGCACGGAGAGCTTTCCAGAAGTGTGTCAACCCTCCTGGCTTCACTGGGGCAAACAGGCCATTTGTAGGGTAGAGTCACTGGGTCTGCATGGGGAGCTGCAAACACAGCTCTGCCCAGGTTGTCTGGCAATTCCGGCTTGCAATAAAATATTCTGCAGCCACTGCCAAGGGCTAGTAATAGCAATTTCCATGGTCAGGAGCACCTAACTTGAATAATCTCTGAAACACTTCCCAAGACTTCAAGCCTCTTTTGGGGCACAAACAGTGCCATGAGTTTACCCAGGAACAGGACATAATTAAATCTTTGACAGAGAGCTCTAAATAGTTTTGATTCCTGGTAGGCAGCATAGCAGGACGTGCCTAGATGGGCCACGATGCAACGTGACTGGAAGATAATTGCTGGTCTCAAATGTGCCTTCCACGTGCAAAAGAAGTATCTGGAGCAGCCAAAGGTTTTCAGTCTAGCCACTGCTCAGGCTACAGAAAAGAACTGTCAATAAAGACCATTGAGGTATTTCCCCAAACCTTTGACAGAATTTAGCTTCTGTCTACCAAGCTCCTTCATCCTGCAGCCTAAGCTGGTGCTCACAGAAATGCACTTTTATCTGAGGCTGACCCCTAGTTCCTGACACCCCTTGCAGATATTTGGGCAGTTGGCTTTGGAGAGCTGCTCCTGATTCTGCTCCCAGTAATGCTCCCAGAATGCAATCTGCAAGGGGTTGAGCCAGGACTCTGCATCCATACACGAGGTTGCTGTGCCAACAGCAGATATCTTCAGAAGCCATGTTCCAATGAGGACCTCAAGGACATCACAGCAGAGGAATGGCAACAGGGCTATCTCCAACAGTACTATTATGGGGGGCAGATCCAGCCCTGATGGGAATTTTTTCTCATATGTATAAGAAAGGAAACTGAACTGGCAAATGAAGCTGCGAAATAGGTCTCCTAGGGAAGTGGTAGAGTCACCATCCTGGAACATGGTTTAGTGGGGGAATTGGCAATTCTAGGTTAACAGCTGGACTCAGTGATCTTAGAGATCTTTTCCAACATAAATGATTCTATGATTCTATTATCTGTGAAGTGTTTGGGCTGAGTCTTCAAGGGCAGCCCCTGTGAGCTTCAGGCCTGGAGAGAGAAGGAAGGGAGCACTTCCCACGAACTTCTTCCTTCCAGGTTCCATAGCAGTCAGCCTGCACACTTAGAGGGTTTGTGAGGGGTGAGAAGGCCACAGGAGCTTTGTGGGAGTCCTTTCTTCTTTTAGTTTGCTTGAAAACCAACTTGCTTGATGGGTAAAGGGGCATTTTGAATAGCTTTTTTCAACCTATTAATATTTGTTTTGGAATCTGAAGTACTTCTCTCTACTTTCCAGCTCCTCTCTGTATTCTTGAAGCCTTTGACAACTCAATTTTCTGTCTCCACAGAGATGAGCCAGACACCTTTACTCAGTGAAAGAACTCATGGGTTCTGGACCTATGAAAGGCAAGAAGTGAATCCACTGGGTTCATTGGTAAGGTCTAGGGTTTTTGATATCCATTAGCCATTTAACTACACAGTTGGCAGAACATTCCTGGGAATGTCTCAGATTGGCTACACACCATGGTATCTGGGAGATACCATGCTGATTGTGCTGATTGTTAAGAATGGGCAATGAGTCTTTATCCATAACATCTTCCAACCCTCTGGATTGCCAACAACCTTCTGAATTATCTATGAGATGGTCCTCTGAACCACATCTTGCAGAGTCTTTTCCAGTTCAATCTTTTTGTTATCCTAAAAAACATGGGACTAGAGAACATGTTAAACAGTTGGTACACAGGGAACTTTATGTGCATTTGCATTAATGGCAAAGTGAAGAAAATGGTGTAACATGTTTTCTTCTCCCTACTGTCCAACAAGGTCCCCAGGAGCTGGTCTTCTATCCAGCTTCACCTTTACCATGCTTGAAGTGGAGTGGTACAGGCTCTTGGATGGTGTGCTGACTGTGCCTGTCCTTCTCAAGAAGAAAACAGAATCGATTTAAAATATGTTTAACATTTGTTTGAGGCCACAGTTTTTAATTTGTAGAACCATGTGTTTTGAGTTAGCCTTTTGCCTTTTTTTTCATGCTAGAATTTGCCTACTGTACCAAGTAATCAAGTCAGGAATCAGAGGATTTGGCTTCTCTGAGGACTGTGTCTGCCTCAAATTCTGCAGAAGATACTGTGTGTGTTGGTGTTGCTTCCTTTTTTTTTTTTCCCCTTGGCTTGTCTTCACAGGGTTCTTTCCCTTGATTCCTTTCTATTTTTGCATTAGATCAGAGAAACACATGACACCTAAAACTTCACTCACTGTACCCCCTGCTCCACCCCCTGCACTCAATTCTGTCCAAGATATACGGACAGAGATTTCCTCTCACCCCAAGGGTAATGAGTCACAAAGTCTGGATGATTAGAAGGAAGGGTTAGGGTTTCACCTGCCTTTTGGGAGATCATTTTCTCCCTCAGATACCATTTCTAATCCTACACTCACTGCAGATTGCACTCTATCACAAGACTGGCAAAAGTGACTCCTCTCTATGCAGTGCTATGCATTGCTTTATGGAAGGTGTTTCTGCACCACTTGTATCCCTACCGTGTTGGAACTGACACTTGACGTTGAAACTTGTGTAATATTTATTGATTTTTTTTTTGTTTCAAGTTTCGATAAAGTTTAACCACTGAGATAGTCCCGGTTTCTGTTTGAGGCAACAAAAGGGTAGCCATAGTGCTCAGTGAGCAGGCTCTCTGATACTGTGTGGTTTATCTGTAGTGCAGGCTATGTAGATACATTTGGGCTAGCTCTGCATGGGTTCATCTGGCTGTGCAAGCACAGAGCCCAGTGAAAAACAACAGCTCACCAGCCTTTCAGGCTGTGAATTCCTCTGTGCTGTTTGCAGCCTTAGTGCTGACACTGAGTTGGTTGAGATCTTGAGATCCTTCTCTTGCCACTGCTGCTTGATTTTTTTTTTTTGTCCTTCGCTTCCCCAGGGACTGCTGTGATTATGATTTATTTGGTATAAAATTATGATTTATTTGGTATAAAATTATTCTCTGCAACAGTAACTGGCAACATGAATATCTGCTTTTGTGGAGGTCTTTCTGCAATGTCAGGAGTGTGTGTTTCAAGCTTTAGGTCATCCCAGTTCACCACCTAATTACCTGTTAGGTCTAGGCCATGCAATATAGAATCTGATTATTCATTATTAAACCCACATACTTAGCTGACATATAGAAAAGGCTGGATGAGTTTATGATCAATAAGGAATTCCTGTAACTACAGAGCTGTAGAATACAATAAGCAAATGCTACAATCTACTAACCACTAACCAGGGAAGAATTTGCACCTCCACATGTGTATTCAGTCTTCAGAGTAGAGCAATTCCTCTGAAGCCTCTGATAATGCCTGTTACTAGAGACAGGGCTCAGTGGAGTAATTACCTTCGTCATGACGAGAGCTACTCCAATGCCATCAATGGAAATCCTTTTCATAGTGCTGAATTACAGCTTGGCAGCAGTGATCTCATGACACACTCCTTCTGATTCCCTACCTGTGTTGTGACAAATGTTTTGCTTGGTTACATGAAAATAATATTACTGGCTAAGAGATAAACAAAATGACAATGAACCTATTTTTATGAAATCTTTGGATTCTTTGCCATCCCCTATTTGCTTTCTGTATTTTTTTTTGTTTGCCTTTTGAGGGATTCTAAATTTATTGTGACAATCTTTTCATTGCTTGCAACTTCCCATTGCTCTGGTGTGATTGCTTTCCTGTTTGCAATTTCTTTCTATGTGCTATTGGAAGCTAGAAACTAGTGTCACCAGTAACATTTTACTAGATTGTAATTGACACCAGTGAAACACCTCTCCACCCCAAAAGTGAGTTTAACATAGTTATCAAAGGTCTGGGGGGATGCTTGCTTCTTTTAGTTTTGTTGACAAAAAAGGAAAAAGTCTCTAGCTCACAAACTGGCTTCCTATCATCTGTTATAGGAATGCATGAAGGCTAATTTTTTAAATGTTTTTTTTAACTTACCATGGTAAGACAAAACACTTGGAGCCTGAGCACCTGAATTAGAACATGAAGAATGTACCATAAACTTCTGAAGAATGGAGATACTTAAGCAGTTTATAGTTTGACACTGAAGACATAGGTAAGTGTACACATTTCATCAATATATCCAAGCAGGCCATTTTCCCATGACATACTAAAGCCTCATGTCAACTAGTCTAAGAAGAAGACATATGAATCACCTTCTGGCTGCATCTATCTGTCTTCTTTCAGTGTAGAGAAAGCACAGATTATGATCTTAGATTCATCCTTACCATCTGAACAGTTAAGATTAGGTAAGATGAATTCTTCCCCCAAGTTATCCAAATATCAGAAAAGATATCAAATGTTCCTTTCTTCCTTCCTGCACAGCATTATTAAAAATCTAGATAGTGATTCTTGCATAATTATTTGGAATAATAAATGTTCATACTTAAAAGAAAAGTGCTAAGTTTAGTCAGTGCTGATAGCTTACATACCTTAATTTGCAAATAAACTCTTATTCCATTTCTTAGACCCTTAAACCAATTTTTCCACAGCTGGAGGATTTTGTCAGCTAGACCACAACAGGCAACTGGAGGGAAGCAGTGAGGGCTCTTTGCAAGGATTTTTTTTTTCTTTGCAAAGTTGTGAGGTAGCCAGTTGGTAGCTTTTATTCTTCTTTATTCCATATGAAACCTTGATTTAGTGCTTCTGCAGTACCAGGGATGTGTAAGGGTCAAGCCAAGGGGCTCTGTACAGCCAGGTCACTCAGTCATTGAGAGTGCCCCATGTGGGCTTAAAGTATGTCAGGACTAATGGAGGGTTAGAATAAGGAGAATGAGAATGTGCAAGATCACAGGTCTTTGCACCGTACTGAACTGTCATTTTTACCCTTTTCATAGAATCACCCTCAACACTGATAGGTTAAGAAGAGCCCAGAAAGGTGAACGTTAACATCCTCTCAATGCAGTGCCCATGATGACCTGCTTTCTTTTTCTTGTACTGCTAAACAAAATACAGGATTCATAAATAGAAACCCTGAATATAGACTGCAGGAGATTATTTTAGCACAGTATGAAGACATGATGCCAGTAAACCTGTAATTTGAATATATATTTTTGTTGCAAGATCTAGTGTTCTGTGTTACACAGAGACACGCAAAACCGTAACAAGGGCAATGAGGCTGTCAGCTGTGGCCATCTCAGTAGCATTGCAGAATTCTGAAGAAGATGACAAAATGCTGCATTCAGTTGAGAAATCAATTTAGACAGAATGCTTAGAGAAAATAGATTGTTATCTACAGAAAAGGGGAAGTTTAGGGCAAGGGGAACATCACTGAAGTATGTCCTGTGTTGGAGAAAAGAGAGAAGTTCCAAGCCACAAATGGAGTTGAGCTTAATCAAGTTGAGCAATTAAACTTGTTGAGCTAGTTAAATTGCAAGAAGAGTAATCCATTATACCTAAATATTAACTTTTCTGAAACTGAAAGAGATACCATCAGAATATAAGGTACTTACATACCAATGTCAAAGAAATAGTCACAATAATTCATGTATAGAACAAAGTAGCAGTACAACAAGAAAACCATATGTAATGTTTTAAAAGAAGTTTGGCAAATCTTGGGGCATCCAAACTGACTAGTGCTCTTATTGCTAAAGGAAAGCACCTACATGTACCTTCTGGGCATTTTCCATTTCAAATTCATCCTTATTGACCAAGGATGTCTTCACATTATAATGTTTCACATTTTTGGGGGGGAAATTTTTTTGATCAATAAATAGAACTGATTATTTGGTAGATATCTAATCCTAGTGCCATTCTCTAGAGCCAGGTAAATGTAAGACAGTTTAAAAATAGCTGTATGGAAGAAAACTCTTTCCTTCTCTTCTCTCATATGGACAGATAGGCTTGGAGGAGAGTGCTGATGACATTTACTTTCCTTTGGGAAATATGTGGAGCTTTTTCAACTGGCTTGGCCAGAGTGTGCTGGAGCACAGCCCTGCAATGTACCCCCAGTTCTCTGCAGGTTGCTCACTTCTTCAACTCTTAGGTCCCTACCAGTTTAATGAGATTATTTTCCCTTAGTGTTTTGCAGGCTTTTCCTGTCCCTTTTTGTTTTTCAGTGGAGTAATGATACTTACTAACATCTTGTCCAAGAAGCCAAAGACAGCTTTGAAAATATTGCATGCTGTGGGCTTTCATTTGTCTCCTGTTTGCACCTGCCTTTAGACTATTAATAGAAAATTTCAGAAAAAAACCACCATAACTTAGCACATATAATACTCTACTAAATATTTTTCCTGGCACAGCTAAAGACGATGTTTCAGTGTCAGTGCACAGAGCAAGAGTGAAACCAATTCTTTTCAATCTATCTAGAAATTTCCAACTGTGACCTATGGAGAGCTGCCTGGTGGTCCCCACAGTCTTGTCTGATCACATGTTGCTGGCTTCTTATCTTTCCCAGCTGCAAGCTTCTGCTAAAAGCAGGGTGAAAATGGTATTCCACAGAAGTAATGAATACAGCTGCCCCAGGGATATTGTGTGAATGTGTACTGGAGAAAAGATGTTCTCCACAACCCTGGAAGCAGGGGAGACAGAATTTGCAAGACAGTCTTTCTGTTGACCTGTGATCTACCATATGGAAAAGTTGAACCTTTCAGTGGGCTTTTCAATCCTAGTTTGGTTAACCTCTCATAGTCATTCTTTGCTCTCATCTTCCTCCCTTCAGTTACAATACACTGTCATAAAGTACTTTTCCTCCAAATCTAGATCCCTGGAATGCATGTGTAGGATAAGATCCTTAGCTCCTGAGGATAAGGATCTTATCCCATTACTCTGCCAATGCAGGGATTTTTAATAGTCCTACTCTTAATCTAATTAGTTCTTCAGTCCAGTTTAAAATTTTCTCAGTCGATGCAGAATTCAAACAGAACTGTAGGCTGTATGAATAAGCCTAGCCAAATGGGAATTGGCTCTGACTAAAGGTCAGGTTTGGCCTCTGAAGAACTGTGTAGTAATGAGTGTTTGGTTCCCTTGAAAATTGCAATTGTATGGAAATGTCACAAGAATACATGTATCTTTATTTAAAGAACTGGGTTTCTTTTCCTTTGGGTTGCTTAAAGCCACATGACTGAGGTATTTTACAGTACAGCTGTTACAGATGGCTCTGATATAATCTCATTTACAATGAAAGAGAGGTATGGAAAGTAAGAGATCTTCAGATAAGAGAAAACTCTGTTAAAACTGTGCTTAGGCTCATTTTTTGTTGCTTTTTTTGTTTTGTTTTTCAGAAGAAGACTAGGGTCAAATCCTGCCCTCCCACCGAGACCACACTGCAGCCTGGAGAGCTGAGGGGCTCAGCTTGCCTCCACACACAGCCCTCTGAGGGGCTGCCTGGGGCTCAGACTCCTGACACCCCTCTCACTGAGCACTGAACTCAGAGAGATCCCCTTCCATACTACAGCCCCTTTCATGCTACTCAGACAGTGTCCCACACTAAATTCAAGAACTAAATTCAAGATCCTATTTAATGAAATTCTCTCTGTGTTTATCTTCCTCTCTGGAACAAATACTGACCCCGGTATGTCCTTAGGGCTACAAGAGGTTTATTTTATCTAAAATAAAACAGAGAAGAGAGACTCAAGTACCTACTATCGATCAGCAAATAGCTTTTATTCCAAGAGAAAACATGATGTGAAAAAGTACGCTTCAGAGAAAGGACTGCAGAGGTGTATCAGTGGGTGTTCACACTCAGCATGGTATTTACTGTACCCTTTTGACAATTACCACCTCCTGACATAACCCAGGGCTGCTGAGCTGGTACAGTGGCTCTCCCACCACAGAGGATGCCAGTGAGATTCAATGTACCACTGAAGGGGCAATGTCTGTGTGATGCACTGCCAGAGCAGAGCTGTGGCCAGCCTCAGCCTTGTCTCAGCACTGCTCTTCTCTCTCATCCCAGCATCATTCTCTCTCCAGAGCATAATCCCAACTTCTTGCTGGTTCTGAGCAGCAGATACTTATGATGCCAGCCCAAATACTTGCTAACAGTGTGAGCAGGTCCTATGAAACAGTCCTAGCTCCAGTGAAGGACACGTAGGACACCTTACTGCAGTTACAGCTTCTCCTTGTAAATGGCTGTGTAGAGAGGAACCTTTTGGAAAGGAAATGAAAGTAGCAAGGTGGATGGCTGGGGAGAGATTCTGGGGTCAGATAGGGAGATTTATGGCATATTATGTTCTAGGAAGAATGTAATCAAAACTTCTGGGAGGGAGCATGCTTCTGGCATATTGTTCTCTTCCTCCAAAATGTGACTGTGTGGACACAACAGGATTCAGTGAACAGCTCTGCTTATTGTGTGACTTATTTCAGCCCAGCACAGATTCGGGGTAGAATTACCTAAACACTCAATATTCTCATTTTGAAATATGCTTTTAATTCCAGAACCATAAAGACTGGAGATTTGACAGTTTTGAAAATAAAAGAGAACAGTAAATAACTTGCAGACAAATATAATAAGTTTTTGCAGAAGGTTATAGACAATTTTCTGACTACAGTTAAGCTGTAATGAATGTAGAAAATCTCACACCGGCAGGCAAAAAAGGGAGGAGGAAGAAAAACCCCCAAACCCTATTTACTTTCAAAGGCCTGTTGGCAACTAATACAAGATCAAAATTTAAGATTTGAAAAACAGGACATTTTACCAAGCGAAATCTAATGAAGCTGATTTTTAAACAACTTAGCACAATTACATTGATTGCAAGAGCAATTTGGGTAATTACATGTGGAAATGACCATAATTAACCAGAAATGAGCAAGAACCTTGCAAATGTTCCCATATACAAGATTTTCTTCATCTTTCTATGAGATGTTCAGTGCTCAGTACAAGCTCCTTTCTTTAAGCCAGTGAAAAAGTGTGGTGCCATATGTTCATGAAGGATGTCTCATAATCTGGATACCCAAAAACTTTGGGGACAGTTCTGAATCTTTACATGTGGCCGTTGGGATTTTTTGGGGAAAGACCCGAGTCTGGTGCTACAGTAGCAGTGCCTAAGACATAGGGAGCTGCATTTTGTTGTGCAAATGTGGAGGGGGAGGAATAGTGCACTTTGTATAGAAGTTCTGCCTGGCATCATGTCAAAAAGTTAATTTCAGTATGGTCAGAAGAACAAAGAACAATTTTAGGAAGGGTTTGATATTTTATTCATATTTAGATTAAGTCCAGAGAGATGATGAGAATGTTAATTGGTCTCCCTGAAGAGACAGATGTTCTCACCAACTAGAAAAATCAACTGAAGCAATTGGGTCTCTTTTCTTCATTATTCATTTTTTCCCTTTTAATCTCCACTATGCAAAGCTAGAGAGAAGCTGAAGAAAGCCAGGCCAAATGGCAAGAAAATGAGCACATGAACAGCAGAGACTTTAACTGATGAAGAGATTTGTGAACAGCAGGGACAATAGTCAAAGCAGGTCCTATCCTTCTGAATAGAAATGAGTTTGCTAGGACCTTTCATAATTGTGTATGACCTGTTATTGTTGTTATCATTATAGATCTCTAGAGAAAGAGGAAAGTAGATGATGGAAATTTATAGCAACTTTAGAGATAAAATGGTGACTCTGTAGGAACTTTTGCTGTTAAAAAGCCACGTTTAATGGTTGTAAAAATCTTCACTGTTTAAACAAATGGTCCTGGTGATAAAGGCTTTCCAGCAGAATGCTCAAAATACCAGTCCGAAGTGACTATCACCATAAAACTCAGCATACTGCCAGAAGAGTTGTGGTTTTGACAAAACTCACCTCATTGTTAATCAACCTACTGAACTTTCTCTGTAAAACTCATCTACGGTCCAGCTGGAATACAATGAAATAGATTAGCTTTAAAGCTCAAACCCAGGGGTGGCAAAACCATGGGGGACTGTGCTGAAGCCCTGTTTTTCAGCTCTGACAGGCTATCTCCTAGGTTGATAGCAATTTTCCAATGTTCAGTGTTATTTCAGTTGGCTATAGTACTCTTATTTCCTGGTGTTGTTCCATCTCTGTTAATGTTTTATATCTGTTTTCTACTGTTTTTTCCACTGAGCTCTCCTGCTTCCTTAGCAATGCTGCTAAACATGGCACAGGAGCCTAGTAAATGTTTTTGGGGACTTGACTTTGCTAGGACCTGATGCCCTGCTCTGTCCCACCATGCCTGACCTGTCCTAGTCCTGGTAGTCTGAGGAAAAAGAGTAGCCATGTCATAATGTGAAACACATCCTTTCGTTATTATACTAGAGGGCAAACCAACCCCACATGAGTAGGGTGAGTAGTAACACTACCTTCTCTTGTCATCTTAAGGTAAAGAAATCATGGACAAGGGAAAGAATGAGGCAGGAGAGTTGCTGCCCTTCCTGCTCATGGCTGAATTGTTGCAGAATGGCATCAGTGAAAGCAGAGCAGTTTGCAAGGGGCTGAGAAGAATGCCATCTCTGATTAGCCTGCCCTAAGCAGTGGGGGGTAGTGGCTATCTGGCCAAACAGGGCTCCACCAGGAGACAAATCCTTGTTTATCTGGGGCAATGGCGTGACTGCTTGTCTTTGGTGAGTTTTTTCTGCAGTTCAGCTCTCCTGCCCAATAAACTCCTGTTTGGTCAAGTCCATCTGTTTGATTTTCCTTTGAAGATGTGACATGCTGGGCATTTGGGTAGGTTGAGCATGGTTTCCCCCAGAGGTTGGCTGGAGGCTTGAGCTGATGTTTCCTTTATCAGAATGGAGAGTGAGCCTGGCAGATGGGTAACATGATGCTAGTCTCAGAGATGGAAACATTTCCAAAAGAATTGCATGTGGTGGGAGACTGTGTTTGATGGTGTCACAAGCTCAAGCCAGTAATTTATCCTTGTCCTGTCCTCTTCTTTCCTATTCTACCCTGCTTCTTATGTTGTAGCTAACAGCACAGTTTCTGAAGAGGCAGAAAAATACAGCACTGTTTGAGTGAGGAAGCAGTAAATTCCCCTGTGTATGTCTTGAGCTGTGATGATCCACAGACCAGTATAAATTTGGGCTTAATTTAGTTCTGGCTTCTGCTGTCAAAGGAATGAGTTCAACTAAATTTTTTCACCTCAGTAGGACATGATACCAGATGAGAGTTGTCTATGGATGCCACTGAAATGTACAATAAACTGGGATATAATATTCTGATCTAAGTAAAAAAATATTAATTTAACAGGCAATGCTTTGTTTGTCATTTCAGGAAATGAGTGGATCAGAGCTTCATCTGGCCGGTGACTGCATGACTCCATCAAAGAGCCATTATGGCACATACCAAGAAAGGGGCTGGCTTCAGGGCTAAGATTACTATGGGTCCATATTATCTATTCTTACTTTGCAAATGAAATGAGTCTGCTTGTAAAGTAAATATCCATCATGTTCCATGAAAGAGTTGGGAAGCAGTGATGCCTGTCTGAAATGAGCCCCAATGTAGCTCAGTTTCATATGTAGGTGTCAATAGCTCTTTTATGGGCTGCTTGGGATACATCAGATGTATATCAGATATAATTATCCTCTTTTGTTAAAGTGCCACTGAGTCTGGCCCAGTTTAAAACTCAGCCCCTGCCTAGTCTAGGGTGATAATTTTCGTCACTTCCTTTGGCCAACTTTCATAACCTGGAGAGGTTCAATTGCAGTTAGCTGCAATAGTGTAAAATTAATAACTTTTGTATATTCCTGTGCTGTAAGCACTGGATGCAGCTACTGTGCTGTAATATTAGATTAAACTGAGTACATTATTAGCTTTATCAATGATTCATTACAACCTTAATGCCAACCGAAAGGACACAGAGTACCCATTTACCAGTGTACCTCTGGCAAACACTGCAACGCATACAGGTGCTTTCTTTGGAAGAGCCTTTATCAAGGGTATAAAGTAATAGAAATTTTCTGAGTTCAGTACATGTGTTTCAAGTATATTATATCAGAAATAGGAAAAAAAACCCTGCATTTAACTTCAGACTTAAAGCAAGGTGCTTAAGATGAGACTCTGAGCCATGTATTCCAGGAAGCCAGGTTTAATACAAAATCTGTGTGACAGCAGACAACTGTAGACTGAGAACTAGACCATTTGTAACACTGATTGATCACTGTGCTCATGTCAGTGTCTGTGAAGGCTGGAGCCACTGAATGTGACTGTGAAATAAGCTTGAATATAGAAACAGAGACTCTCAAAGACTCACAGAGGCACATGGTATGTGAGCAATTGCCTCCTCTTAGCCATCCCCTTCATGTCTTCCCCCATGTTTTGGAAGGTGTTGTCTCCCTGATTCATTGATCCATCCATTTCCTCCACAGAAAAGTCATTCCTCTTTCACTCACCCCTTCACAGCAGGCCCTGAAGGAAGGGTGGGCACTTGGAGTGCTCTGAATATGTAGATGAATGCTAACCAATAACAGAATAAAACAGGGGACATTTTCCTTTCCCTTTTGGGCCAGGATGACAAGGGGTATTTCAAAGAGCTGACTTTAGCTGGTACAGATGCAATTCACAGTTTCAAGGCTTCCCAGTCCATTTGAAAGCTGAGGCATTGGCCTGTGATACGCACACTTGTCAACAACTGTATATTCACCCCTGTGGGCTTGAATCAAACCCTGCTACACCCTAGTTTGTCACCGGTATAACCACTGATTTCAGTTAAATTAGTCTTTATTTACACTGGTGAGTATGAAGAAAGGCAGGTTTGCTAAGTGCAGCAGATCACAGAAACCAGTCTTTTTCTTCAAGGGAGGCGTTAGTCACCACTGCAGGCACTTTGATTTGTTAGTCTGTACACAGTGCAAGCTTTCAAGAAAGCAAGAGTATTTATGTAGATTTCCTGGGATGTTCAGCACTCTTGTAAACCCTTGGGTTGGTTTTGGTAAGGTTCATGAAAATAGGTAATTGTCTGCTTCAAAAATGAATTAGTGGAACTCCAGAAACAGATTCCAGTGGGGGTTAGAAGCAAGGGTTGCTGTGTGTGAGACTGACAAGGAAATACCTGTGTCCCAAGAACAGCCCAAAGGTGTTTACAGGGCATCTTTGTTAGGACCTAAAGGATGGGAGTAGTGCACTTATGATAACTATTACTCACCAGTAGCCATTTGAATGTGCCTTCTAGAGCTCAAAGTCCTTCTAAGAAAATAAATAGTTATTAATGATAACAGTTATATTACTGGGGCCTTTGGAACCCTGTTGGGATCCTCTGACCCAGGACCAGGAGACTCAGTAAACCTTGGGTAAGAAAATTAAACTTTCCAGTGATTAGGTTTCACTTCACTGTAGATAAATCTGTATTTCTACTAGAAAATATTTAGGATTTAATGACTCAAAAATAACTGAAAACTACTGAATACTACTTTGGCGATTTGCAGATTACAGTAAATGACATTATATAATTAATAAATCTAAATAATCAGTGTCAGTTATTTAGTCCAAATGGACAGAATCTTATAGTGGCTCAGGTTGGCAGGGACCTCTGGAGGTCATCTGGTCCAAGCCCCCTGCTCAGCCTCAGAGCTGGTTGCCCAGGACTGTGTCCAGATGGCTTGTGAGTGTCTCCAAGGATGGGAACTCTGTAACCTCTCTGGTCAGCCTGAGCCACTGCTCAGTCACCCTTATAGTGAAAAAGTGTTTCCTTATGTTAAAACTCATACAATAAGTCTCAATTTTCATGCAGTGCACGCACAAATAATTGTGGAAACTGAAAAAATCAGGTTTTGCTCTTCTTCCTTCAAACTGAGTAAGCAAAATGGACAGTCTCTACAAAAAGACAAGTAAATAGAAGAAATTGAAAAATAATTTCCCATTAAAATGCTTCTTCTTTCAGCCAAACCTAATTAGAAAGGTAATTTCCTAGAAGCTTCCAAAAATTTTACTATTCCTTTCATATACATTTTTGCAGTATCACTGCACTTCGGTTAGGCACGGAGCATCTCCCTGAAGAAATCTGGAAGGCCTTGTCATTGATATGCCTCTCACAGCTTGCTGATGCTGTGGCAGCAGCAGGAAAACCAACCACTGTATGTTAGGCAGGCTACAAGGCAGCTGGGCAAGGCAGTGCTTCCTTAAAATATTCCAGACATACATAAATATATATATTTATATATATATTTATGTATATAGTTCCACAGATACTCCATGCATATGCATATATTAAAAATGCTGAGTATTTAAATCAGTACATATATAACATAGAGATGCAGTCTTGTGTGTGTGTGTGTATATATACACAACCATATGTGTTTAAGGTCCTTTTATTTCTCCTTTATTCCCTTTCTTCTATACTAGTCTCCTTAGATTGTAAGCTTGATGGATCAGATGCTGTGCCTGTACTGGTGCATCTTGTTTGAGGGGGAAATGAAGGTATTCCTGTAATATAAATCATGGAATTACACACAAATATTAATTTATAACCCAAAATCTGTGTCAAAGAACACTAAGGCTGCAAAATCAAGCAGCCAGAGATAGGAAAGACTAGGACTAGAGAGTCCTTTGCCACTTTAATTCAGTCCCCTTTGCATACTACTAATTACCTGATCACATATTTTGCTTTTTCCTTTTTCATTGCCTTATTCAGTGTCTGAAATGTGCAGTTCTAACTTACTGAGCAATGAAGCAAAATTGGTTTTCCCCTGACTGTTCCACATGTGAATTCCCATCCTATTTACAGCATGCTGTTCAAACACTGCTACTGAAAAGAAACGGTTGCTTCCACTCTTCAGTGGGAGTGACGTCCATCACTGATGGTGAACTGAGCTAGATTAAAGTAAGGCAGTTTTGATGTGGTAAAATTGAGATAGATTAAGGTGAAAGATTAAAAACTTGGGGGACGCAGTTTGAGATATACTTAATTTTTCACAGTATCCATCCCCAAATAATACTTATCATTTCAAAGCTCAGCTTCTGAAGCTGAGTTTGGTGCTCAGGGCTTCTGGAAAATGAGCCCAGAGAGCACCAAGCCACCTTTAACTGCAGATCACAGGCCAAGCCAGTGAGCCATGTGAATCCAGGCATGAGCCCCTGTAGTTATGTTCAAGATGCCCAAGAAGTAGAAGAGAGTTCTCCAAGTTCTCTCCATCCTGTGGTGTGGGCCCCCATATGTTCTGTGGTGGAAGACATTGATTCTGTGCTTCCTCAGGTCAGCACACATCACAGGATCCACAAATGGAGTTTTGGAATGAATTAAATATGAAAATGAATAATGCACCTTGGGCTCTGCTCATGAGGAAACCTAGTTTGAGACCACATTTAATTTCATACTCCTCTTAAATATTACATTGTCATTGCACTATAGTAATAATAATGGCCAGTCTTCGCGAGCGAAGATCCGGGGAAGGTCTTTCCACCTTCCAGCCTGCGCATTGGATTTTTTAGGTGAGACACAGTGTGCGCGGAACTGAGCCCACCCTTTAATCCTAAGGTTCATCTACCGGGGCCAAGCGAGCTTGGACGGTGGCAGTGAGGTCCTCAGGACGTAGGTGGGTTGCCTTTAAGGGCTAACGAGCCCCACCTGCCCGGGAGTGGCCCTGACCGGGAATCGAACCCGGGTCTCCGCGGTGATAGCGCGGCGCCTTTACCCCCTAGACCACCAGGGGCTCCTTTGCACTATAGAATGCTAAAGTAAAAATGTGGGCTACATCCTGGGAGCAGCAGTGGAGGTTTTGGCAGCCAGGCAGGGAGAATCAGAGGTGCTGGCCCTTGGGAAGGTAACAGGGGCACTGTGAGCTGTGGAACGGGTGAGCTGTGTGGATATGTCATGAAAGTCATTCCCCTTGACATCATTCCTGGTGTTCAGTTCAGACTTATTGTCTTTAAGTTTCAAAGCCAGTCTTGGGTGTATTTCTTGGGGCTGCCATTTCCCATAAAGATTCTCCAGCTTTCATAGCCTCTGACATACTCGCATCTGTTTGCACTCATTTGGGCTCAGAAACATTTCTCAAGAGAGCAAGTCAGGTGAATTTTTCTAAAAGAAGATGTGGATTTCTTTTAAGCACAAATTATTAGGGTTGAAAGAAAAATGTGAGAAATTTGTCTCCTTTCAAGCCTTTGGGCTGATTTTGCTTCCACGGGCTATTTGGCTCTGCTGTCTGCTCTGTGCAAGGTGTTCCCAGCTCAGCTGGCACAGACAGCCGTTGTGCGTGACTGCGAGAACCTCTGCATTTCTTGTGACCTCTGAATTCATGCACACACACAGAGCAGTCCCCAAACTGCCTCGTGCTGCCTCAGCTCCAAACTTTAAGGGCTACCTGAGGTACCAGCTGAAGAAAATCACCAAGGCTGTTTTTGGAAACTACCCACAACCACCCCACAAGTTTTCCTACTTGTAATTCATAGAAGAGACGTGAGTTGTATCTGGATGATGCCACATGCCTGCACCTTTCTGGCAGGAGCAGTGAGGTCTATGGCCTTCTTCCCTTACCTAGCTTAGTGCTTAAGGCTGGGGAACACGACTGCCAGGGCCTTCAAAGGCTTTTCAGGGACACACGATAACCTCAGGGGCTCTGGCAAGTCAATGCACAACGAGAAACCAGCTCACACACACAGTGGGTCTGACCAGCCTGGTCACTGTGTGATATGAGGTGTTATGGGTCTGGGATGCAAAGGGAAGATGAGTATATCCCCTCTTATCCTGTCTGAAAATTCATACCAGGTGTTAAGATGCAGTGTTTGTGGCAGTCAGGGGCTCAGCTCAATGATCCAAGGAGCCCATTCCAGCCCTTTTTCTGTAGCTTGGGCATATATATCACTGTCCAACACATCATCTCAGGGCACTGGGTTCATACAGCAAGCATAGCATCCCTGCTGAGCCCAGACACAGGACTGACCTCTATATACACCCTTTCGTGTCTTTTGCTAAAGCAGACGTAGAGGGTGGTACACAGTTTTCCCATGTACATGCCATCACCTTTCTGATGCCTGGACATTGGTTCTCATGATCAGAGTCTGCACTGGAGCTAGGTCTCCTGACCGTCAACAAAACTCCTATTGGCTTTAAGAACAGTGGGAGTGGATCAAGGAACCTCTGAAAATCTGATTTCAGGTAAGAGGGACTTACATAACATACCACCAAATAGAAATAATTCAGCTAAATGGGAAAATTAAAGTATATTCAAGAAAATAATAGGAGGGAAGCAATTGACTTGAAACTGGACTTTTTTAATGCTTTCATAGATATAGAGTACTTCATTTCACTTGTCTATGGATAACAGAAAACAACCCCTCCTATTGGAGTTATCTGTCTCCACAGCCACTGCAGTACATCACTGCACATTTTTTTTCTACCACATCTAGTAAGGAACTGGAAATCTGTTACCTGGGTTTCAGGAACAAGTCAGGAGCATGATATTTGGTCATCTGCTTCTCCAGTCTATGTGTGTTAGATCAGCGGTGTGGACTGCTGTGAATTAATTACTATTCCCTTTTATGTACTTTAGCTGGCTACAGCTGCTCAAGACACTTTTAAATATCCCAACAACTCCAGTATTGTTTGCTGACACTTCCTAAATTCTCTGCTCAGCATCTGGTTGTCTTGATAGCATCGAGTGCCCTATTTCACTTGGAGGCAGCCAGGGGCTTCGGTGCAGGGCCTGTACAGGTGCTGCGGAAACAATCCAGGGCAATTTGAGTAGCATCTAAAAGCCGTACTGTTTATTCTTCTGTTCACATGGGCTACTTATCACAATCACCTGGAAAATTCCACACATGCAGTTACCCCATAATAGGGCTTTGTGACAGCACGAGAAAAATGGTTATTTCATATGATTCACTAGCAGTAAGTCACCAGTAGGTAAAGAATGTTTGGTGTAGAGTATGAAGGCAGAAAGATGAGAGAAGAGTATTAAACTTCATGGAAGATTTATTGATATAAAAATTAACCCAAACTTCTGCTGTTGGTGGCCAGAAACCTGATCCCTCGCCATGACCCCAGCTCCCACCATCAACTTAGGCTTGTCTGGAGTTTTGTAGTGTGTAGGTTACAGCTTCATGTGTTTGTTCCAGGGCTGTGTGTCAGTACTACTTGGTACACTGACAGTTTACACAGAAACTGTGTGTAAGAAACCAAAAAGGACTGTCGTGGTTTAAGCCCAGCTGGAAATTAAGCACCACACAGCTGCTTGGTCAGTACCCCTCTCCCCCACCCCAGACCCCAGTGGAATGGAAAGGAGAAAAAAGTAAAACTTTTATGTTCAGATAAGAACAGTTTAACAATTGAAAATAACGTAAAATACAGTAGTAATGGTAAATGATAACAATAATAGAAAAGGAAAACAAGGGATGCACAATACAATTGCTCACCACCTGCTGACCAAGAAACCCTCCCACGGGTGCAGAGCATTTACTGTCTCTGCTGCTTTTCCCTCAGCTCAGCCAAGGTGGGA